TTCTTGTCTTGTTTCATTTTTTTTCCCTTTTACACAGACATGTATCATATTTGCAATTTAAAACAAACGTAGCCTGGTGCGGTGGCCCACGCCTGTGATCCCAGCGGCTCAGAAGGCTGAGGCAGGAGGATCGCAGGTTGGAAGCCGGCCTCAGCAACTTAGCGAGACTGTGAGCAACCTGGTTAGACTCTACCTCAAAATAAAAAAGGAAAAGGGCTGGGGATGCGGCTCAGGGGTTAAGAGCCCTTCGTTCAATCCCGTGTACCAAAAAACAAACAACAGCAACAAAAGGAGAACGTGGGCACCTTTCCTGTCTCCTCACCACTCCCTGAAGCCCCCGGTGCAGGGCAAGGTCACTCACCATAAGACCAGGTAGGGCTGGGGACAGTGCTGGCCCCAGGCCCGTGGACCCCCAGGAGTCTCATTAGCTTTCACAAAAATGCCATTCCATTAAGCCTCCATGAGAGGAGGGAATCCCCCGAAAGGTACTGGGTGCAAACTCTGGCCCTGCCTGCGGGGACCCCTGCACCCCTGAGCCTCGTTCCCCCGTCTGTAGAACGGGGACAGTGGTGCCTGCTAAGTGTCCTGTACTGTGCTGAGTGCTGTCAGACCAGGTAACTGAGAAGCAAAAACAAAAACCAGGCTCCTGGGGACCCCTCAGAGCGCTGAGAGCGCATCCAGGACCGGGCAAGGGGAGCTCCGGGGAGTCCCTCTGCCACAGAACCTTGGAAGGGACTGGGAGACAGAAAAGGGCCAGGGAAGAGCAGACCCATGGGGTCTGTCATGGGGGCCGGTCCCCAGCATGTCACAGGAGGAGGGGTGGGTGGAGGGCAGCTGGAGGAGCTTCTGGAAGGGGCTTCTGCGCCCGTTTCTCCTCCTCACGCTGTCCCCTCTGCCCGCAGTGCCCCCCACCTGCCCTTCCCCTCCGCCTGGCCCTGCCCAAAGCTCTTCCTCCCCAGAGCCGGCTCCTCTGAGCCCAGTGGCGCCGGCACCGCCTTCTCCACCACGCGCTCCTCCAGCCGCGGGTTCTGCGGGACCTGGGTGGGCTGTGCCTGGGTGTACCGCTCATCTTCCTCACTCGGCTCTGTGCTCCCTGAGGCTGGGACTGTGACCTCCGGGTCCCAGTACCTAGCACAAGGCCTGACACACAGTAGTTGCTCAACAAACAGAACATGCAGCCCACAAAGCCAAGGCCAAACCCAAGCACACAGAGCTCTTCTGAAGGAAAAAGAGGGGCAGATTTTGCACCAGGATCCAAAAATGGATAAGAACTTCAGAAATACTGGGGATTTGAAACCCCACACAAAGTTGTAAGAATGCTAGAAGAAATGCCCCGTGAATATTTATAAAAGCTTAGGATGAGAAAGAAATTTCTAGATCCAAATTCATATGAACCAGGATGTTTATTGCATCACTATTTGCAAGAAAAGTGGAAATGACAATATAGTCCATCGATACAGGATTAGTTAAATAAATCATGGCTCTCTTTCCAGAGGAGTACTATGCAGCCAGGAAAGCAAATGGCACTTGTTGATGTGGAAGAAGCCCATACAGAAAGCTTGCTGAATGTTAAACTTGCTGATCACAAACCAGAGATTCTGATAAATTAAAGGTATAGCTGACTGTCACAGAGAAAGCATGAAGGTGACAACCCCTCAGTCATCCTTTATTTAGTTATTCATTCATTTCTTACCCTCTGTCTTCTCTCTATTCCACAGGGGCCCTGTTTCCAGTTGACAGAGCAATGTGTGAACAGGACACTGTCCCTGCCTTCAAAGGCATCCTGCTCACCCACGTAGGTGACAAATTATGACATAAGGGAGATGGTACTCACAGCTGGGGGCCTCAGGGTCATCCACTGGGTAAGGGGTTTCATGGAAAAGGTGTGGTTTGAGCTAGGAGGTGAGGAGGGGCAAACTTGGGGTGTGCAGTTGCACCTCAACTCATGACTGGGATCAGTAGCACTAAGTGCCTGGAAGTTTGAAAATATTATGTGTAAACTGGAAAATGCAGTGACACACACCCCTAATCCCAGTGACTTGGGAGGCTGAGGCAGGAGGATCGTGAGCTAGAGGCCAGCATCAGCATCTTAGTGAGGCCCCAAGCAACTGGATGAGACCCTGTCTCAAGGAAAAACAAAACAAAAAAGGCTGGGGATGTAGTTCAGTGGAAAAGTGCCCCTGGGTTCAATCCCCAGTACCCAAAATAAAGTGAAATAAAACCACATTTATCACACCTACCCTCCAGAATGTCGTGGGTCTACCTTAAACAGGCTCAGAACACGGAAATTCACTGATGGTTGAGGGAAATCATCTCATGCAAGGCCTATTTTATAACAAAGTATTGAAACTTCCGTGTAACCTATTGAATACTGAAAGAGAAAATCACCAGCGCTGTGTGGCGACCCCAAGTCCCCGGTGCATGTTATTCTCAGAGTCAAAAAAAAAAACCCTAAATGGAGCCACCCAAAGTCCGGGGTTGTCTGGACAGAGGGGAGGAGGCCTTTTCAGAGGCAGAGGTGGGCCGCTGTGGGCCAGGACGGAAGTCCCTGGTTCCCCACCAGAGGCTGCGCCCAGCCGATCATCCACAGGAAAGGCCTCATCTGCAGGAGCTGAGCCTGGGGACAGAGGGGTCTGGACTTGGTCCTGCCCCCTGTGCTGGGAGGCAGCACCCCAGGCTGCCGTGATACAGTGATCAACAGCTCCCAGCCGTGACTCGGGCACCCTGACAGCACCGGCCCCAGAGGCGGGCAGGGCAGGGGCAGGTGCCTTAACTGAGGCCCAGCAAGGCCACCCGGGACCTGGCAGTGTCCCAGACACAGGGCTCTCTGCTCTGCACTGAACACTTGGGCCAAGGCGCCCAGCTGGAGGGCTCCCCTCTCTGCAGACCCTCTGCTCAGCTGCTCCCGGGGGAGGGGAGCACCCGGGCAGCGTGCGGTTCTGGCTTTCCGACTCGTTATGGTTCCAAACAAAGAGAAATGACTCAGCTTCCTGCCGAGGAGCCGAAGCCTTTCAGAAAAGATATTTCTGCTTTAAAGCTCTCTCCTCTCTGTCATGGAGGCAGCTTATCTGGGCTGCCTTGTCTTCTCAGTGTTCGGCTGTCCCCAGACTGAGGGACGGACAGGGACGAGGGCCAGGTCTGGGGCCAGACCGCCTGGGTCTGAACTGGGACCCTAACCCTTCCTTGTCTGGACAAAGCTGCACCCTCTCTGAGCCTCTGTTGGCTCCTCTGAAGGTGGGACTAGCAGTTAGTTCCCTCCTGGGATCATCACACACAGCAGCTGTCACCAGGGGAGAGGGTCTGGTCCAGTGCCTGGCACAGAGTAGGTGGTCCATAGATCCCACGGTCAGGAATGACAGCAGCCCTGCTCTCCTGGAGGGCCTGGTGACCTCATCCGGAGGCTGCACAGCGCAAGTCCTCACAGCAACAGCTGATTCAAGTTTCTCTGTGTGCTCACGAGGGTCGCTGCACACAGCCCAGCCAACTTACAACCAAGTCTCAAGAAGCTTCCTCCTCCGCCACCCTCTGGCCAGCA